GTGGGAGCGCACGCCTGTAGTCTCAGCTACTCAGAAAGCTGAGGCAGGAGAATTCCTTGAACTCAGGAGATGGAAGTTGCAGTGAGAGATCACACCACTGCACTCCAGCCTGGGTGACAGAGAGAGACTGTCTCAAAGAAAATAAAAATAAAAATAAAATAAAACTCAAATAAATGGATCCAAATGACCAAGATCAAGTAAGCCATTTTGTAAGATAAAGGGTTGCGTGCAAATTTTCCAAATAAAACATGTCTTTATAGTAGGTATAATAAATGTGTGCCTTTTAACTTATTAGTGATGTCTGGGCAAAAATAATTAAATAGCACCTGTTGTTATAAGTGCATGGACGTGTTTGTGTGCATTTCTCTGCATTCTGCTTCCCCTATCACTTTTACTCAAATCCGATTAGCTTGTTTTCACTATAGACAAAGTGATTATGTTCATTTCCATCATAAAAGTAGATAACAGGCAGACAGTAATGCTTAAATAGAGGATTACGAGTTAGTCCCAATAATTAGTTGAAAGCACTGGTCAATTATCATTTCAAAGATTATTACTTTTTTATTAAATAACTTTATTGAGATGTAGTTTCAATACCATACAATTTGCCCATTTAAAGTATGTAGTTAAATTGTTTTTAGTATACCCATGGATCTGTGCAAATATTATGACAGTCAATTTTAGAACATTCTATCACTTCCAGAAGAATTCCCGTATTTATTCGTCACCTTTTATCCTGTCTCCCCTACTTCAGTCCCCCAGCAGCGACCATTTCCCTATTTTAGACTTTCATAGGAAGACAATCATATACAATGTGAGACATTTTTTGCCATTATTTTTTGCCAAAATCAAGCTAAGTATGTTGGCAGATAAAGGGAGCATCCCGAAGGAGACGGCCCTTGCCCACGTCCCTCCAGTGATACTCTTTTACGTACCTCTTCTGCAGTTGTTCATTCAAGCTCTTAACTCTAATTACTGTTATTCTCTGCTTGCAAGTAGTTTATTTTCTCTAAATTGAAAAATAATGGTTAGCTGTATGTATCTTCCCTGCACTCCCATGCCCATAATATGACTGATTGATTAACTGGTTGATTGAATAGTAATAATATTGAACTAAACAGATTATTGGGCAAGACTCCTGATGCGCTAAAAGCATTCGAGGTTTTATTTGGTGGTATTTCACAGTAGGGCTGGTAAAAGTCATTGTGTAGCGTCCTTCTCAAAATGCTTTAGATGGGGTTTCTTATCCTTCTTCTGATAGAACTAGCTGTAAAATCCAGTATACTTTGTAAAAAGAATGTTACAAAGTTGAAAGGTGTATGTCTGAATGTTACCAGGTCTGTGCTTTAGAACACTGCCTCCTTTTTCCTAGTCTTGGATTTCTCCATAAGCTGAAAATAACAGTGTTCAGTTGATTCAGCCTTTCTCTAAAGCAGAGCCACAGCCCTTCCCAGGAATGCCTTGGAAAGAAGATGGCGATGAAAGCCTTGCCTTGATCTCAGGCCATTTACGTTCCAGTGGGAAAGCAGACCTTCATCAAATTGTCACCTAAATAAATGTAAATCACAGACACGATCCAGTGCTACATAACTGAATTATTTCAAGTAAGGAGACACCGAAGGAGGGGGCTTTAAGCCAAAATTTAAAAAATGGAGAGTTTTTCCAGGTTACAAGGGAAGGAGGAGCATACCAGGCCAGAGAGCAGTGCGTGCTGGACTCCTTCAGGCTCAGGGCGATGGAGGTCCAGGAGCTGCTCTGGAAGAGAGGCTGTTTAGAGATTTTCATCATTATTCCAGTGTCACAGAAGCCTATCACCTGTTCTAAACGAGGCAAGCCACATAATTTGGTTATTTACTGGAAACCCTTAAATTTCCCTATTTACGCCCTGAACTAAATCCAATTAACTATGACAGCTGAGCTGCTCACATTTTCTCCAGTAATGAAGGGAGTATAATTTTGAGTTCTAATTTTATCTTCCGAGTTTTGTCTTAAAATTTAGTAATTACTAAAGTCATTTCCAGAAATTAATTTAAAAAGTGTGTCAGAGCTCCAAATGTCTAATTTAAAAGAATGAAAGAAAGAAAAAAACAGGCCAGGCATGGTGGCTCACGCCTGTAATCCCAGCACTTTCGGAGTCTGAGGCAGGAGGATCATCCGACTTCAGGATGAACCTGGCCAACAAGGTGAAATCCCGTCTCTACAAAAATACAAAAATTAATCGGGCACGACGGTGGGTGCCTGCAATTCCAGGTGCTCAGGAGGCTGAGGCAGGAGAATAGCTTGAACTGGGAAGTCGAGTTTGCAATGAGTCAAGATCGCACCATTGCTATCCAGCCTGGAAACAGAGTCAGACTCCATCTCAAAAAACTAAAATGAAGTGAAAACAGAAAATCGAAAACCATATTTGGATTCAAACGATTCAAATCTTAGGATAAGTTTTGCATATAAAAGAAAAATGATGGTAAAATAAAGGTTAATTACATTTTGCATTTCAAAGATAGTTACAACAGTCTCCCCTTAACCTTGGGGCATACATTCCAAGACCCCCAGTAATTGTCCGAAGCTGCAGACAGTGTTGAATAAATCCTATACTGCATGTAACCTCTTTGCTTACATACGCATATTCATGATAAAGTTTAATTTACAAATGAGCATAGAAAAAGATTACCAATAACTAATAATAAGATGGACAATTATAATAACACCCTGTAATGAAAGTGATGTGAACGTGCTTCCTTTCTCTCACCAAATACTGTATTATACTATACTCTGGGTAACTGAAACCATAGAAAGTGAAACACAGATCAGCAGGGGATTACTGTACCAGTCTGGGTATTGAAGAAAGATTGGGATTATTGAGTCAATCCTCAGAAAATCTCTATATCAACAGCCTTTTCTATGGACGCCAAGAATAGGTTTCCCAATGTCCTGCCATGGTAACTTGCATTAATAATCTATGCATTGAAAAAAACCTTTGAGTTCAGTAGTAGAATGAGAGAAAAGGATGAAATACAAAACGGCTAAAGGAAAATACGCATAACAGCCTCACTGATGAGACCAGCAAACACATTGCTGCTCTCTGTCTCAAAACATCTGAATCACAATATCTGGATGACTGTTTCATCTTTTATTCTACCTAAAAGTTCACTAGTTAATGATTCATTTGAGTTAACCAGCTTTTTCCTTCTAAGAAACAGAGATGCATCCTTAATATCCTTTCTAATTTCCAAGAATCTCGAGAAGCTGTCAGTGACCTTAGGCTGTCCTGGAAAAGCCTTCGACTTTTCATTCATTCATTCATTCATTTATTCATTCAATTCAACAAACATTTCAAAGATAAATCTGATATTATTCCAAGCATGGGGGTTACATCAATGCACAAAACAAACAACCAAAAAAACATCTGTGCCCTCAAGAAATTTGCATTCTCCTTAGGGATGGGAAGGAGAAGAAAACTATTAATAAGTGTAAGAAATGAATAAATAGCACTTTAGAAGCTGATGAGTCTAATGGAACAAAATAGAGCAGATAATAAGGGACAGGGAATTTGGAGTCCTAACTCATAAATATTTAGGGTCTTAGATGGGATTAGTTCTAATCTTATTTACAACTTTAATGCTATGTGAGTTTCCTCATAAATTAATAGATGGACTATGTTAGCACACTAGCCATCCTTTATTCAGTGTTTGCTGTGTGCTAAATGAGCATTTAATTTCCACTGTACCATAAGCCACAAATCACTGTCTCTGCTCAGACCAGAGGCAGGGTCATCTTAGACAGTCACTGCTTGTTAGGGACACAGACTGAAAGGCAGAACAAGTAGGAGCTGTTGTAACCTATGCCAGTGACTTCCCCCACAGAGCTGAGGGGTGAGGTTGCTGTGAAATAGTGAGGAAAAGGGAATTGAGCAAGGGGTTTGAAATTCAGTGTGAGCAGGACAGTTTTTATTATCTTAATGATCACATTTCTTCTTAATATTCTGGAAGTGAAAAGTAGTCTACTTGCCAAGAAAAAAAATTAAATATTTCTGCTTTTCTACAAAACTATTGACTATTTAATATTTAAGTATACTGGCAATTAAGTGTTAAAAATGGACATGCATGGGAAAAAAGTATATCTCTTTCAAAAAAAGAGCTTAGGTGGTTTACATATTCTGAAGACAGAACAACGTCAATGGAATTCAGAGCGTCCTTTCAACTAGCCTGTGTTAAAAGTTTTATGCTTCTTTTTTTTCTATGACATATTATCCTTTTATGTACTGATTTCATTTTCCAACCTTCTCAATTCTGTAATAAAGAAATGGGATTTCTGTCCAGTTTTTAAGGATTTATTTTGTTTTCTTTCACGTAAGTTTAGTTTACTTATCTTTCTTTTTTCATATCTCATTTGGTCAAATAAAAAATAGTACTACTGCAATATTCTTGGCAGTATGCTTCACTCTGTAATTTGTTTGGTATGTGCTTTCACACAAGGAGGAATTCAATACTAAGGAAGGAAATGCAGATGAATCTCTGGTTTTCATGCATATGCACCTTCTGATTTTGTTTATGCATTTGTGCAGGTAAAAGTCTCTCTGCTTCCTTAGCATCCCAAGGGGTCACTGTTCCACCAAGAGTCCTTAGCTGCCAGCACAGAATAACTTAGCAGGAGAACAGAAACACATAATTGTATGGTGTTTGGAATCCTTAATGAGAATTTCTGCAACAGGCAGCACTGTTAAACATTGCAGAGAATGGCTCTCTAAATACGTAATCAATGTTTGTTGATAAATGAAAACTTCCAAACGTAATTGTTATTATTGGATGTCCAGCAAAATTCTAAACAGATTGATCATTTTCGTGGGATCACTGTCTACTCAGTGGAGAAATAACGCAAGTTTATTTAAATTCTGCCTGGTGTCCACTTCACATTCCCTTCAGAGCCTGCATGGTTTCTCAGCTAAAAGCAGCATATTTTTTTTTTATTATTAAAAAGTACAATATATGATTTTCTCTTTTCAGGGAGGAGCAGAACATAATATTCCAGTTGTTGTTTCAAAAATCTCCAAGGAGCAAAGAGGTAACGTGTTTAGAGAATTGTATTCCAGCCATTTATTTGTAAGGCATTGTTTTTGAAGCGTGAGACAAGAACCATAAATCAGGATGTGATTGACTGGCTCCAGCTTCCCCACCTTCAGACATTAATGGCTGACTCTGCTTCCTAAGTCTCGCCCTTTATCCTCCTGTGGGGAAGAACTTCTCTCACATAAGAGGAGCAAGGATGAAAATAGAAACCTCTGAAAGGTGTGCAATAGGGACTGCACAGCTTTTCAGTTGCTTTATTAAACCAACAAACATACAAAACTAATGAAAACAAGTCCCATCAAGTAAAGACAATTTCAGGTATCTGTTTTTCAGTTCTCACACACAGTTTTACTCAGCTAACCATTCATATGAAACTGGAGGGAAAATAATGGAGATAGAAAGCAGACGTGGCAAGAACTGAAATTAGTAAAACAATGTAATGTTTCGGTATGAACTTGGAACCAATTCCATAGCTGATGGATCGAGTGTCTGTGTCTTCAACTTTTTCACAGAGACCTAATAATCATAAGTGCACGAGAAAACGTGGTCATTTACCCTTAGAAGAGTGACTAATGTTTGGCGACTGTTAGGTCTGCAAAAGTTAAAGTAAATGGAAATATCTCTGCATGTGTTTCAATAAGTAGGCTGAATCATATTGTTTTGAATTGCCATATTTTGTAGGTCTTTTAAGATGCCAACCATAAAAAAACCCTTACTTTTCTGTTTATAAGTTTTATCTTTATTAATTGAAAGCCCTTTCATCTGTATAACAAAAACAGTCAATGCTTCATCAACTGTGCTTTTTCATTTTCCATTTACAGCGGAGCTTTCGGGCCTACTTTTTATTGGAGATGCAATTCTACAGGTATGCATTTGTCATTATGTATGCCATCTAAACATTAAATCAACTGACAGTATGCCATGGGAAACTATGCTTTCCTTTTCATTGCAGATAAATGGCATTAATGTGAGAAAATGCAGACATGAAGAAGTGGTGAGTTTTCTTTTTCCTAATGTTGTAATTTTCCCCATGTGCAAATAAGAATTTAGTGCATTGCCAAAAACTGTCATTCTGTTCATTAGGCAGATATGACATTTATTCAGTGTGATATCAAATTTTCAAATGTTCTCTAGTTGATTTTTTTAAATTAGAAATAGATTAATGAGTCCTTTCAAGGATGAAGTGTGTTTTGAAGAATTCTTACTTACGGATGGTCATTTTCTGTGTTTTTACAGTCTTTATATCCACCCCTACCAGTCAACGTCCACTAAATATACCACTGCGTGAAATAGATCTCTAAATCTCTGTAGATGTTTCAAAGCTTAAACCATACAATTATGCCTGTAGAATGTCACACAGTACACTCAGCTCTCCCTCTTCACGGGATTGCACATAGGCAGATTCAACCAACCATCCATAGCAAATATTTGGGGAAGAACACTAAGAAATAGCAAGTAATAATAAAAACAATACAAAGCCATTTGACAACTATCATATAGTATTTGCATTTCATTAGATATTAGAAGGTATCTAAAGATGAATTTGGGCACACAGGAGGATGTGCATAGTTTATATGCAAATACAACAACATATTATATAAGGGACTTAAGCATCCATGCCTGTAGGTATCCTCTGAGGTTTTTCCTGGAACCAATCCCCCACAGATAGATTACCTAGGAACAAACGAAAGGGCATATAAAGACTGCGTGTGTGTGAGTATGTGTGTTTGTGTGTGCAAGTGTGTGTGGTGAGAGAGAGGAGAGAGAACCTTAAACTCAAGGCAGACAGGTTTAGCACTAGACAGAGTAGTCATCCAGTTTTACCTCAATATTTTCTTGGATTTGTAGATGTGCAGATTCCCAAACTCTGGAATTAGATATTCTAATTCAGCAAGTTTGGGTGGGCCCAGGGATGTGGATTTTAGCAGCCGACCTAAGTGGTTCCATTATAGGTGGCCTCTGAGCTAAACTTTCAGAGGAACTGAGAGCTTAAGGAATTTCTGTTGCGGGTGGTGAAATGACATTAGAAAAATAGAAAAAGGAACAGGACTGCGGTAGACGTTCTGGGGCCTGTCTGTGGGGTTGATTAAATACCATTCGGAAACCTCACTGATTTCTGCAGCAGCTCCTGTGGGAAATACTAGAGGAGAAATTGTATTTAAAAATTTATACTCAAAGGTCAAAGAAAATAAGAAACACTGTAGGCCTTTCACTTGTCCCAGCTCAAGTTTATTTGGTTTTGGATAGAATGCTCCTCTGTTAAAAGCTGTTTGAAGAAAACTACGTTGATACAGTTCAAATCTCAGAGCAGCAACCTCAGGTGTCTGTGAAAAGCCGTGCTGCGGACGTGCTGATAGGAAGGAGGGTTTCTAATTAGGAACACTTTGCATAACTAATGAAGGTTTTTTTAGTATTTGTCACTTGTCTTTGTCTTCTTAAAATCTTATCTGAGCCATGCTCTTGCCACTCTGTGCTCAACTTCATGTAAAATATACACATTTCAAGTCCCAAGTTCCCTACCAATATGTGCAGAGAAAAGTAATATTTTAGAACAAAATTGTAAACAAGTGAGAAACCAGCACAGCACAGAGCCTTCTATTTTGCAGATTCCTATGTAAATTTTAAATATAGTCACAGAAGTAAAGCTGCTTGTAACTTGACTCTCTTTTCAAAAGTACAAAGTGATTTTAAACTCATTAGCTAGGGAGTGAAAACAAGCGCATTCTCTTTCAGAGCCTCATGCTGTTAGATGGAATGCAATTTGCCTTCAGAGGCAGGCAGCACGCTCAGACACACTGAGATGGAGCTTTGATTAAACAGATTAGGGCGGCATGAAAGATTAGAATGCGCTCATAATTCCACTTCTGAATGGTGCTCATTCTGTTATAAAGGAAAGAAATTTAGGATTGCATTGCAAATTGTATGTGGTCCTTCAGAATAAACTTTAATTTTTTTTCTGAGAAGCTTAAGTCTACCAGCTTTGAAATATGGGTACCAACATTTTTATTTATTTCTAATCTGTGACTTTCCAACAGCTATTAGATGCTTTGTTCTCACTGCTTATTAGCTAAAGCCAATAGACTTACACCTCAGTAGAACAGAGATACTAATTAAATGTTTAATAATAAACCTACAAGGGCAGAAAAACGTATAACAAGCTTAGAGAATGTAGGTGGTTTTGAACAAGCGTGCTGATATTTCGCATTTCTTATTCCAAATAGCATGCTGTTATGCCACATTCCTTGTAAACTACCAAATTCAGAAACAAATTGGGCCGGTATGAAAGCATGTTGTTTGTGCAGGTAACTTTTGTTTTATGCACCTACTGTGTACTTTGATGTTAGAAATTCTGCATTCAGCCTCTAATCAGCTTTACTGTCAAGCAGGCTTCAACAGTGTCAATGTTACTTTTGTGTTTGAGTTATCAGGTTTGATTTATATAGAAGGGGGGTTTTACATTGTCCACTGTGGGTGCTCAGTAGATGTTTGGATGGGATTCTGTAACGAAATACCAAGAATGAGATCCCTGAAGCATTTGCATCTGCGGTGTACATTTCTCATGGGGCCAGTATGGGAGTATAGTAGGTGAATTCCCGGCTTCGCTCACATCACCCGCTGCATTCTTACTGGAAGACTGTTAAGGAAGAGAAGCCCACAGCTTCCTCACGAAGGGAAACTAGAACCAGTGCCCAGCACTGCTTGGCATGCAGCATGGTGGCCACATAGGGCTTCGGTGCCGAGAAAAAACTCTATGCAGATCCCAGCTCAACCGTAACTAACATAATTTAAGCCAAACAAAACGAACTAACCTTTTCTATTTCTCTGATATATATTTATAAGAATGAACGGCCGGGCGCGGTGGCTCACGCCTGTAATCCCAGCACTTTGGGAGGCCGAGGCGGGTGGATCAAAAGGTCAAGAGATCGAGACCATCCTGGTCAACATGGTGAAACCCCGTCTCTACTAAAAATATACAAAAAATTAGCTGGGCGTGGTGGCACGTGCCTGTAATCCCAGCTACTCGGGAGGCTGAGGCAGGGGAATTGCCTGAACCCAGGAGGTGGAGGTCGCGGTGAGCCGAGATCACGCCATTGCACTCCAGCCTGGGTAAGAAGAGCGAAACTCCGTCTCAAAAAAAAAAAAAAAAAAAAAGAATGAACCACCAATAAATGTTATAGGAATGAATGAGATTAACATATGTTAAGCTCCAAGCATACACCTGGCAATTAAGCGGTCATTATTTTGATGCCACCCAGTGGCACCGCTCACAGGCTGCTGTTCTTCTCCCTGTTCCCTCTCCGTGGGCACTGCCAGGTCAAGGTGACTGCCTGATTAGGACCCATGATGGGCCCTGGGGGTGGGTCACACACAGACAGAGTCAATGCTGCTGCTCAGCGTCACAGGGTCCCTCCACCAATTCCAGTGGGGAGTTGACCTGGTCACCCCCAGCAAGAGTGGCAAGATCCTGTGAAAAATGGGGATTCCTCGTTCATCCTAGCAGCATGTGTTTTTATTTTCCATGTGACCATGTTTTGGAGCTTATGAGTTGTGCTTCCAAGACACCAAAGCCCCTCAGAAAAACCAATCTATTGCCACTACTGATGTTAGTATTGATGGTAATTACCTTACCACTGAACCCAAGACACATAAGCCAGTGGTCATCTCTATATCTTGTCATCTATATTTTTCTTTTGCTTAACAAGCAAACTGATCACATATCAAGAATTGTCTGAGTGGCTGGGCACGGTGGCTCAAGCCTGTAATCCCAGCACTTTGGGAAGCCGAGGCGGGCAGATCACTTTAGGTCAGGGGTTCCAGACCAGCCTGGCCAACATAGTGAAACACTGTCTCTACTAAAAATACAAAAATCGGTTAGGCATGGTGGCACATGCCTGTAATCCAAGTTATATGGGAGGTTGAGGCAGCAGAATTGCTTGAACCTGGGAAGCGGAGGTTGCAGGGAGCTGAGATCATGCCACTGCACTCCAGCCTGGCAGACAGAGGGAGACCTGTCTCAAATAATAATTATAATAATAAATAAAGAATTGTCTGCGTGCCATCTATGCAAAAAGCACTGAGACTGAGTTCTTTGAGTGAAAAGAATATACAAGTAACTCTACTGCAGTAACCTTGTTGATATGTGGGCATCACTGCTTTAGATTTTAACAATTGTGTATGCAGAAAATTGAAGAAAACTATTAGAAAGGGGGTAATATGAAAACAATGTTTATTTATGATGCTATTTAATATAACAATGATGATCTTATCCACTAGAATCATACGAATTAAGATTTTACTATACAGCAGTGTTTGTTGAATTAAAAAGCATCCTGGTTCTAACAAGATAATCCATTCATATAACTGAGGTTTCCATCGAATGAGAGCTTTGAAAGAGGAGATCATTAGGTAAAGCAAGATGGATGCACAGCTGACTCCTGAGGCTCCCTTTTAAAGTAACATTTGCACTTTCAGACTTGAGATTTATGTTTCCAAAAAATATGTTCATCTACTTTTTGTTTCTATGATTCTCATGAACAGAATTTATTAGGTAATTTGAATTGCAAATAATTAACACCTAATTCTGAAGGTACGATTGTGAACTAAACTCTAAGAAACCTTCTTAACTCTAAAAGAATAGAATGAGTAGCTAAAATTCTATAATTTAAAATGACACCTTCATACAATGAAAACAAATGCTGGTGAAAGCTAATGAAGAAATACTAGTTTAAAGCATTTTTCTTGTTATGAGATATGCTTAACTTTGTTTAAAACTTCCATTGGAGTAAGAACATATGCTTTTTACTTTGGATTAATCAGACAAAAACAATACAAGAGTTATAACAAATCATCTGAAGAAAGGCATAAATGTATTTATTGGAACAGTCTGGGAGGCTTTATGTGTCACTAAGGAACATATTTAGGATGTGAGTTGAGCACACAGATCATTTTAGATCAAAATATCATTAGTTTCAAATCATATTTTACCTAACTGCT